ATACTCAACAATGAGCAATACCACTAAACATCAAACTATAAGGATATTGTTTTCTACATTGATACACTGTGCCCTATTAAACCATAAATAAAGATTCAGTTCAAACTTTTATTTTAGCGTAAAAATATGGAGTGCCAACTGTGCCAAAATTAATCAACTAAATATGTCATATGTCATAAATAATTATAAATAATTTATTAAATGTGTCAATAATGAATGAAAATAGGAAATAACCAAACAAATATGTACACTTGATCACATTGTTTCTCCTGTATCCGTGGTTGGACTAATATGCGAATGCTCTTTTCCGTGTTCCCTTTTTCCAGGGAGGCAGAGGAGTGTGATTTCCCCTGTAGTTGGAACACACCCTCCGGTCCCCCTTCTTAAAAACAGGAACCACCATCTCAGTCTGCCAGTCCAGAGCCACCATCCCAGATCTCCATGCGATGTTGCAGAGGCATGTCAAACAGATAGCCCTTCAGTATCCAGAGTCTTTAGGAACTGAGGGCGAAGCTCGTCAGTACCGGGGTCGGCCACCAAAGAATTGTTTAACTACCTCAGTGACCTCGCCCCCAGTGACGGGCAAGCCGTCCCCTTCATCCCAAGACTCTATTTCATCGCGTCAGTCAGTGCCTGATTATATCCTCACCTGAAGTCAGCAGCACTGCACCTCTGCTGGACACGGTGTGAGTGGAGCACACGTATCTTTCCATGACCTGGATACACAACACTGGCAATTAAAGAATTAAAGTGGTTATTAACTCACTGTGTTAGTTAATATGTTCACATATTAACCCATGTTCACATGAAAGGGGCGGGGTTAGTACCATCAAACTAACCTACAAAGAACATCTCACTGGTCATGTGTCTTTTCTTCCACAGAAAATGATCCCTACCAGCACCAACCCTTCCAGGAATGTTTAATTGGTGATTAAAAATCTTTAAAGAACAAAAAATGTACGAGCAAATGCAGCACTGTTATAAAAAGGACATGATGTGAATGCTGCATTATTGTACGATCTATTGTACAATATAAAGCTCCTTCAGGTGACTGCTGTTGTGATTTGGCGCCGTATAAATAAAACTGAACTGAATTGAATTGCTGCAGAAATCTGTGAACCTGTTAACTTAGTGAGTGGTAAACACTTTAATTCCAATGATCTGTTTTATCACTGAGTGCGCTTTCTGTGTTTATTGCTAAAGTGACTGCTGCTCTTTGGAGTCCACAACTTTAAACTGGATCAATTTATCCTTTAAAGCCTAAATGATATAGAAATGACTTTAGTTTCTTGGCAGATGAAAGTGAAATTTATTTAGCTGATTGAACAGGTATTCTTGGTGTGTGCTAGTTTGTTCAATTGTGCAATTCCAGCTGTGTAAAAGAGACTTAGCAGCAGATAAATCTGAAGTAGAACAACATGTATGCATTTTATAAATCACCAAATAATACATGCACATTCCTGTAACAGTGTGATACACAGTTTGAACATCATTCAGTGGTTTTGGTAAGGTACGGCACACGTAAAACTTCCCCCAGCAGAGATATTGGCTTTAAACATGCTGAGAATAAAAGATCCAGTGCAGATGTAGCACACCAAGTTTAAACCAAGACTCTGAGCAAACTGTTCCCTACTGTTGGAGTTTGTAATTCTCTCAGCTGCAGAATACGTACTGTTTAAGTGTTTGGAAGTAAAGATTAAACATAAAAAACTATTTCAACCACAGGCTTAGTTTACATACCAATTTAATATGAAGTAAGTATAGTAGGTGTCGTGCTTTAGACTCAGATATATAGAAAGTTGCATCTATGACTATAGTTACTATCATCAGGGAAGCATCAGAATGAAAAACTTTAGATGCTGTAGAGCTCCTGGTATCGGGATGTTATTTTCTGGAGAATTTATTTTCAATTCAATTCAATTTTATTTATATAGCATCAAATCACAACAACAGTCGCCTCAAGGCGCTTTGTCATTAGGTGATTATTTCATACCTACTGATCTCTAATCTGGACCTTAAGCTGCTCTGGAATAGGTCAGGTTCACAGCTTAAGATACCACTGCAATGTAAGAAGAAGTGAGAAGTGTGTAAAAAGTGAACCACCTTTGAGCACTATAAAGTAGTCTGACTCGAGCATCAAGCAAAGGTAGCAGGTAAGCAGATATTTTGGGTTTCTAGAGATAAACAATTTATTTACAGTGACCTCCGAAGCTTCCCTAACTTCCCTAATTAACTCATAATAACAACATAAAAAACCACATGGACTAGTCAGCACAGCTCAGCTCTCCTCCATCATCTGAACCTGTGACTGAACACACACGGAAGTCAATTCAGCTTCAATCAGCCAGACCAACCAGCTCACAAATAGCTGAGAATCACATAAAACTCACTACTCCTCTGACTCGCTCATTTAAACTGCTAAACGGCTCTGCATCGGAAATGTTCTTGACAAACCACTTTATAATCCAGAAAACAAGCAAAAGAAACATTTCCATAGAAAAAACACCCCTCCTCTTGGTTTAGCCTGGTGATGTCAGACATGACATCATCAGCACTTTCCCACACCTGCAGGAGTAGTGATGGCCAAACATACGAAGAGCAGCTTAAACCTTAAAATGAACTGCGTCATCATGATTGCCTTCAGCTTCTGTGTGATATCATGTGACAGCTCTGGGCTGGTATTGTGCTTTGAACATGTATTTTTTTAGTGGGGTGAAAAAACGGTTATTTTTATGTTAATAATAAATAGTTTAGATAAATAAACCTTCCTTGGTTAAACATGTGCCGTGGTGTGTTCTCCATGTTTTGTGACTTCTTGATGTTTTTTACCAATAAAATGATCACATGTATTCGTGATGTATTATTGTATGAAGCGCCTTGAGGAGACTGCTGTTGTGATTTGGCGCTATATAAATAAAATTGAATTAAAAAACAAACAATCTTATAATAGGTGTGTAGGATGCACTCCACACACACACACAGTTTGATACAACGTGATGTTTATTTCTGACTTTGTTTTTGTGACAGTTCACAGTCTGGCCAGCGCCGGTGTCAGGGTCTTCAAGCACGCCTCCTCTCGTCTCACTAAAACAGGGGAAAGAAGAATGTCATCAGACCAAACGCCACCAGCTGTGTTCTCACCTGCCTCCCCAGCACCGCCTCCTTGAGCTCCCTGCAGCACTCCTCCCCTGCAGCCGAGCCAAGGACCACACCTCCGCCACAAGGTGTCTTCTGCTGTTAGGTCCCTGCCTCCATGTAATGATGTAATTAAACAGTAGACATGTATGTTTATATATATAGTACTATAACTATTTGTATTGTGTATTTCTTATGTACATTTTAGCCCTGGGAGCAGACTTGCTGATGAACTGGCTTTTATTTAGGAACACAGAGCTCCTCTGTTCCTGGCTCCATGTTCTCTCACACAAAATCACCAAAACAGCACAAATCCTGCCAGTGATTCAAATCCTTATAAATCATTAAAATCAGGTACCAAAGCAGTGACGTGCTGAATGAAGCTGTGTGTAGAATATATTCAATGTGTGTAGAAAATGTTTTGAACATATTCAAAACAGAATATGTTCATATGCTAATGAGAGAAATAAGTGGAATGTGTATTTCTATTGCCATACATCAGAAAACTGTGAATCGTTTATTTTGACATCTGGATAGACAGGAAGCAGGAAGTGCAGAGAAGAGTGGGAAAAGCATGGCTAGACATTTGTAATCATTCGTGTGGGATCCAAAACAATCCTTCAGAAAGCAATAATCTTTCACTCCAATTCAATGATGTCAGTTCCAGACGATTGCTATGTTTGAAGTCATTAAAGGAGCAAGCACGCCTTCCTGGCTCTTGAAAAGGAGTTTGGCTGGCTGTGTATCTATGTTCACACTCAGGGAATTCAACACATAGAGAGAACAGTACATCACTGATCGCGTGACTGTTCAGACGAACCAAGCTGTTTCTGAAGCCGCGTGTTGGTGGTTTTTGACACCAGCTTCATTTTGAAATGGGCCATCACACCATCATGAGGAGCCTCGTGATGGTGTGATGAAGCCTCGTGAACATGTCAAACTCTTCCGGCCAATTGTGTCAAAAAAAACCTGGAATGGAGAATGGGCCTTAACCTCTTTTAAGGAGAAAGCATCAGGATATCTCATAGCGTAGTCACACACTACTAAAATAAACCAGAGGCCTGCTCTGCTCTTCTCCAACAGGCCTACAACAGGGCTTTAAACTCAAATTTAAAGTGGTGAGTCAGAGAACAATTATTGAAGCAAAGGTCCGGATGATCATAATATCTAATTATTTAGTGTTATTTATCTATCTATGATATAAATAGACACACACACTTAACTTCCTGCATTTCCTCTTTTCTGTTTCACGTCCTCGCTGAACAGTCCCAGTCAATTTTACAGATACTAAATCTCTACACAGCTTCGTAGCTGTGAACTGTTTCAGAGGCTCCCTTTCTTCCCCTCTTTTAATTATGGAGTGAAATTTGCAGCAAAAGTGTTGCAAATGCATATTTATGATATGTTTGACAAGCGTGAACTAAGATTTACAA